CGACATGACGAGAGAGAAGAAGCCGACACACCGGACTGCAGTTGTTGGACAGTCATTGTTTCCATTGCCGACCGGTCTGCAAATGACGGAAAGCTCGCTACCGGGTAACTGGAGATTGTGGAAATCGAAGTGGATGAATTTCGTGACGCTGACACAGTTGGACACCCATCCGATGCCATACCAACTGGCTATATTCAGACATGCCATCTGCTACAAGGCGAGGCGCGTGCTCGAGACGTTGGGCCTCGGTGATACGGATGAACAGGAATCGGATCTGTCGGAGACAATCAGGAAAGTTGGCGAGTGTTGCGAGGGCCGATCAAACGTGACGTACCAGAAGTAACTTTTTTAATCGTCATTGTTTGCCGGTTGAGTCTCTTGATATCTCCATTGTAATGGGAAAATAACTGTTATAACATCCTCTTGGTTCCGCCACACTCTGAAAATCTGGTATCAACTCTCCTAGTCGGCCGAACGAATGAGGCTGGCTAGCCGAACAAACTCCTCGTGGAGTCAACTGGGTGGTTCGGGTTTAACTCGTTCCAACAAATAGCTCAGCGGCAGTGTTCCAGGACGTGGTGTTTTCTCCCTATAAAAAGCCACAAATGTCTGCTTAACAACACTGTGACGTGGCAGTCGTAACTCGCCACAAAATAAAGTCACTGCTCCGTGGATATCCGGATAATCCTTTCCAACCCACGGACACCAATCTTCTACTCGCACATTGCTGACGATATCAAACATTCAAGAATGGAGCAGCACAATTACAAGCACAAACTACACAGCTACATACACACACAAGTACATACTTACATACCCCGCTACACAAACATACACTGTTATGGCAAACATATCGGATTTTTGCACATTTTGATCACGCATTGTTATGTCAAAAGGATCATGCCTGTAAAGGCGTGCCTCACCTTGTCGAGAATAAAAGCTTCCTTTATTTATTTATATTCACGCACGACACAGTAACCAACCAAATTCGAAGCTGCACGACCCGTGAGACCCAGGCGCAACACGGTTACTAGGCTCGAGTTGAACGGGCTCCTAGACCGAATGCAATTTCACACACAGCTACCCAAACCAGAGAGAGCAAGACAAAAAGACAGGCCTTCCGCGTAGACACTTTTACCGGCCAGGCTCAGGGCGGTTACAGCGCAGTCCAGCGTTTATTTTACACCTCGATGGTGCCAATGGTTTGCGTAAGCAACCTCTGGAAGAAACTGAATTGGCACTATGCAAATTTGTCAACGAAATATATTAAAATGTGGTTGGTAGATGCGGAGGTTGGACTGGAAAACTGAATATTTCTTAGGTAAAAATGATTGCATGTTATATGATTGCAGACGCTGGTGGGAAACAGGGATGTTTTCTGAGGTACACAGGCCAATCAAAACGTGTTTCTCATGAGTTGGAAGTTTGATCAAAACAAGTGCACTTGTCTGAATCGAGTCTCACTGACTTCCGTGGTTTGAGCTTATGATCATTGTGGGGACGTTGAGTCCGCATAACAATAATGACACGAACTTGCAATTTATGCGATTGTCTTCAAGACTCCCTCATCTTGACCGCATCGTTATCGGCATACGAAATGATGATATCACCAGGCACCTGCTGAGGCAAAGATGTCCATCCGTAGATCAAGGTATCGATAGCTGCTTAAGCGAGACGAGAACAGCCCAACCACTCCAACATTTGCGTACGGAGGCAACCGCAGAGTCTTGTGCGGTATGCAAGACCAAAGGATCCCCGTCACAAGTAGCCAAGAGCTAAACTGCCAATTTTCTGGTCGTTGGCATCCAAAACGAAAAGAGAGTTTTTCAGCTTGGGGCCACACCTGCATCAAGTGTGTCAAGAAAAACTATTTCCCCGTGTTGTCGATCGACAGACGTCAGGTCAATAGACAGTGAAAGCCAAAAAGACATGCAAGAACTCACAATAAATAACACGGAACATCACGCAGGTCAGAAATGTATCTTTGCAACGCTGTTGATCCAAGGACGGTCAGTTCGTTTTCAACTTGATTCAGGAGCCACGATCAACATATTACCCGAGAAACATTGTGTCGGGGTACAATGCAGGGAAACGCGGAGTTGCCTCAAAATGTGTCACGGCTCGAGGCTACGGCCAAAAGGGAGCGCCTTCGTGACAGCTGTCAACCTGAAGAACGGTATGGAACACCAGCTTGGGTTCTTAATGGTATTAGTAGACCTTCCGTCCATTTTGGGACTTGGCTTGATCCCGCACCTTGGTTTAGTCTCCTTCAATCATGATCGTCTTTTGCATTCGTGTCAGGTTACCGCAGACATTGTTGATTGCTACTCTAGTCCGTTTGATGGGGGGTCATTGGGAAATTCGAGGGATGCGCTCATTTGTCGTTGAATGAATCGGCGACGCCAGTAGCGTTGCCAGCTAAGAAAGTGCTAATTGCTTTACGTGAAAGGTCATCAGAAGAAATGCAGGGCTTGTCTCGTTTAAACGTCATAACTAAGCTGCATGAGCCGACAGATTGGATAGGCCAAGTGACGATCGTAACTAAGAAATCCGGTGATTTACGCGTGTACATCGGCCTGAAACCGGTTAGTGCCGCACTCAGAAGGGAGTATTACACACTATCGACACTAGACGATTTGCTTGCTACCGGTGTTATCCAAGGCGAAGATATTCACGAGTCGACCTCGCTTCAGAATGCTGGCATGTAGAACTTGACGAAATGTCGAGCTATCTGACCGCATTTGTGGATGCCTTTCGGACACTTTAGATTGCTTCGCTTGCCCTTTGGTTTGAAACTACCAATTAAGATTTTTCAGAAACAGCTAATGCAAGCGGCAGATGATCTACCCGGTGTGTTTTTTGTAGTGGATGACGTGCTACCCGAGAGGTTGGACCTTACCGTGGTGCGATGGTTTGCGTGCTTCAGATATTCATTAAGCTACGCGGCGTGGTGCTTTTCTGCACCTTCAGAGGCACTCATACCAGAAGTCTCAATTATTAGAAGCCAAACCAACTCAGCCTTCCGGTCCTCCAGGTTAAGGCTTGGAATAAGGGTATCTCCTTATTAATAAAAACGGACTCCTTGAAGCGTAACACCAAACCCGCCGCCTAGCGGTCAGGTTTTTGAAGCGAAGGCTTTCGTTGAGAACCCTAATCGTTCTCCAGTCTAGGCCTGGGCAACCTACAGTATCCTGCCCACGCAGTACAATGAACCACTACAAAAATATTTCTGATGCTCTGGCCACCGCAGTAATCGAGCCGTATCTGCTGTATCGAGCAGGGGGATAGTGGTTTAGATGATACTGCTCAAGCCTTCCCGTCTTCTTATCCTCCTCTTACGCTGTTTCACCCTTATCGTCCCGTTCCACCTTCACTTTTATCCACCCTCTTTTCAACCCCTCGATTGCTGGCTCTCCCCCAACATGCTTTACTAGGCGTTTATCCTCTAATTTTAGCTCACAGGCTAACGCGGAGCGTCACTCCTTTGCCGTCGACAAGCCCATGTCCAACCAAGCAGTCAAGCCCAGTTCATCGGCTTCCATTTGGAGCCCTCGATCCTCCTTCAGACTGACATGCCACAATGTACGCACACTGCTTCAGACCGGTCAACAAGCAGCACTTGCCCGAACATTGGAGACCCTCTCGATCGATATCTGCTGCTTATCGGAGACCCGCCTGCAAGACTCGAGCTCTGTGCTCACTTTGCGATCCCCTTCAGGTGAAACTAGCAGCACTTTCTCATTGCGCCTATCCGGTGATGATGCAGCTTCGAGTACCGGCCAAGCCGGTGTTGGCATTGCCCTGAGTCCCCGGGCTGAAGCTACTCTGGTTGACTGCATCCCATTATTAGCCGGATGTGTGCGCTCCGATTGGCTGGCTCGTTCAAAGCTTCGAAGCCGCACAGGACCAACAGGTGTCTATTCATTATCGCTGCCTATGCACCCACAAGCTCTAGCGACGACTCGGTAAAAGACGAGTTCTATCGTCAACTGAACGAGCTTCGTCGCCACAGAACAAGCTCGGAGACTGTTGTGTTGGCTGAGGATCTGAACGCCTAAGTTGGAAAATTAGCCACTGATGAACTGCATCTGGGCGGCCAACATGGTGTATACACCCGTAATGATAACGGTAAGCGGTTACTTTATTTGTGTGAAGATACACGCTTACTTTTGCAAGCACTAATTTCCGACACAGCGCCAGCCGGAGGGTGATTTGGCGCCCACCAGCCTCGAACCAGCTGTGGACGCAAATGGACCACATTGCGATAAGTCACCGATGGAGAGGCTGCGTCCAGAACTGTCGCTCGATTTGGAGCACATGTGTAGACACCGACCATGCAGTTGTAAGTGCTGACCTGCGGATGCGCTTTGGCGGACACCCACGATGACGTTGTGACCGCACTGACACCAGCCAACTGGCGAAGCCAGCTGTTCTGAATGCCTAGCAAAGTACGCTGTCATGCGAGTTGAATAAGCGGTCACTGGATGCAACTGAAGCCCACTGGTCTTATATTCACCAGACCTCACTAGTAGAAGGCAAATCCTCATGTGGTAAGTCTAATCGCTAAAATGCTATTCGCCGCATGACCAGCAGACTGTACTTCACGTGCAGCTGCTGGGAGGTCCCAGTAAGATCGAAATCTATGCGATAGTCAATTGCATTCAATGAACCACTGAAGTTATGGTTTTTCCGGGAAGTTTTTACTTTCTCCCGGACAATGTCACAACAATCACTCGGACTGGATCAGAAGTTTGTCTGTGTAATTCATAAATGCATATGTGGCTGAAGAGAATAGTCAAAACGAAATTTCTCTGCAACTACGCTACGCGCACTTTCCATCCACTTCAGTACCTCCGGCTTTTGCCGTTTTGCTTCCATGATATTATAATTTGTCTGCTTAACGAATACTCGACATACGATTTGTCATCCGGCTTACTGGCGCATTGATAATTGCTTATTTGTGCGGTTTAACTTATCAAATGCACGCTGTCCGTCCACAGATAGACGAAGACAGCTTGCTCGAGAAGAAAATGTGAAGGAGGCCGCCGAAATGCAGGAGGTGGTAGCAACAGTAAAAGAGGACACGCGAAAACAGCTAGAAGAGCAGCGAACGCGCCGCGCGGAGTACCGGAGACAACTGGAAGCGCAGATAATGCACATACAGAATCGCCGTGTGCAAGAAATCGAGGAGAAGAGACGCGAGCAGGAAGCTGGGGTTAAAACAGAAGCCGCCATACGGGCGCAAATGGACGCAGTGATCGCTGCTGAAACGCAAGCTGTTCGAAGACTTCCGTGGCAGGGGTTGGTGGTCGTTGCCCAATCGTGAATTGAATCATGCATTGACACAAACAATAGTTCCATGCTGCAATGTGTATGAATAGAAGAACCGTACCTCAATGAAACCAGCGTGTTAACGGGAATTTTTATGTCCACATTACTATGCGTACATTTTGATATCCTACCTGTGAAATGCTTTGAGGAGAAATGCCGAATATGGCTAATCATGAAACACATTCGTGTTCCCATCAAACGTCCAAGCTTTTATAATAATAATAATAACAATAATAATAATACGTATATTTCTGTTGATGAGAGAAACTGTCCATAGCGGCACATATCAATTTTACAGAAAAATCCATGCTCTTGCATAGATGACATGCATAGGTGGAGTATTGGGATATGCGTTTCATGTAATAACATTCTGCCGGATGGTTGAGGCCAAAGACTAGTTATGAAACATTGGTGTTTATATGTTTTTGGGCCCTTCTTGGAATAGCTCATCGAGGGATTTTTCCCGTGTGAATATAGAGCTTAAGGTAGTTAGACCAACCTAATTGGCGAGTCTGCTACTAAATGTTGCCACAATGTCACAGGACCTGAGTGTTATTGGTAGTTTATTCCACAGATAGCTGTATCTGACCAGGAAGCAATTAGATCGGACGTTCGTTCTAGCCTTCGATATATTCAGTGTAAAATTTTTGTTGCGAAGCGCTCGAGTTGGGCAATGTTGTAGATTGAGTGTAGGCAGGTTGGAATAGGTCTTTTTGTGTAACATCTTGAAAAGCAGCAACAAGTTGTGCTTCAATCGTCGAATCCAAAGTGGTTAGAGATGAAGTTCATTGCAACGTTTTCGATAACTCCCAGCAGAATGTTTACCAATCAGATGTTTAGTAAATGACCTCTGCAGGTGCTCAACAACAATTCTGTCACTCTTCCCCATATCTCCGTATAGCATGCTGCAGTATTCGAGGATGGGGAGAGTGAGTAGCTTGAAAAGCTCAGTTCTAGCACAAGTCGTGTGTATTTTATTTGATATTTTGAATATATAGACTGTCTGTCTGATTAATAAACAAACATGCCTTAGAATATTCATTCACGAAGTAGATAATACAAGGTATAAGGCTCCAACGTGAATTCATCAAATCGAATATCTGCGGAAACACTGATCAAACATTTCAGGAATCATCAGTAACTCACAACTATTGCTAAAACCCTTTGGCTACACGGGACCAGGGACGCAGTCATATCTATTGTTTCTGTCGCGCATATTTGACGACAGTTTGATTGTGTCTAGTTAAAATGAAATCAGTTGGTACCAAGTTCGCTGGCAACGTCCTTAATTTGACTCACTGGCGTTTAACAGTTATTAAATGGTAAATTACGATAAAGAAACTTATACATATGACATACAGCCCACGACCATAACAAGTTACCGGTCACCGGTTGGTGGAATCGTTTGCCAAGATTCATGAATAATCAGAAATCATGGCATGATTAGATTGGACACGAGTTCCAGAATGATCGACGGTCAAGGATGAACAAATCTCACACGGAGACCGTGGCAAGGTGATCTATTTCGGTCCATTGCTGGCCTGTTGTTGTTTTTGTTGAATGCACAGTGGCGTACTAGCGTCTTCTGTGACTGGAGGTAGTGCGGCTAATTCAAGCCACAGTGCTTTATGCACCCAGGACAGATGAACATTCATTTGTTGCACACACACACACACACGCACACACACACACACACAAGCTTTCGCCAATGTAGTATGATGTCAATGCGATCCAAAATAAGTAGGTTAATAAATTGAAAACACGGTATTATGATAGTGCAAACTGGCAAGCTACTACTGAAAGACTTTGCTAGAATGTCTCAGAAATCGTGCTAAATGCGAAATGACTGACGGACAGTAAGCTTACGTTTCCGCACATATGGACATGTACCTCGGTCTTGTCGACGAGGTGGACGCACAATGCATAATACACAATGAGGTGGGTGACTTGTGTTGGTAAGCACTGTTAACACCAGTCTCATGTAAGAACTAACCTGAGCGGACACAGGTATAGCAATAAAACTCCGCTTTGTTACACCGTCACATTGGGACAAGTATATTAACAACCTGACGATTGCTCTAAATTGCTTAACCAGTAGACTAGGGAAAAGCACTGGAAAGTAGTGCATCCATTGTAGAACAATAGATATATTACAGACACAAAAGCAAACGCTTAACAGTTTTCCTAAGGTAAAGAGTGAAATCAATATTGGATGTATCGAAACAAATAAAAAGGCTTGGCATTAGGCTTATCGCAAAGTTCAAGGGTACACCTTGTTTGGTTACTTGGTCACGTGTCCCCGTAACTTGGGTTAAATCATGTAATGCAGGCTGTGTGGTGCATCATCAAGGCGAGTTTGGCATTCAAACAATCTAGGAGCAGATATGACCAAATGCGGAAGTAAGTTTCACATCTGAGATACACGAAATGAATGAAGTACCGGCGGTATTCTAACCAGCTATCCTGTTTCTCGACTTCAAATGGTGGCCTATCATCGAGGCGTTGTGGCTGAGTTTCAATAAGGGTCGGCATGGGTGGTTAGAGTTCTTGAGAACCTGATCCACAAATATGAGGTCATCTCGTAGAAGAGGATGTTGTTCACTAAAAACTACTACACTCTCTTGTCGCAACTGGTAAGCGAGGTGGAGCAGTCTCCTGGCATTTTTGTCGTCCTCCGTTGTGGCTTCTCAAAGACACCGAGGTCATGTCTTTGCCAGGAGTGCTACACCCGAATGACGTATTAAACGTGTGATCTCATTTAAGCATTGAGCATTTGCGAAAACAATGTTAACTCACACCGGCCAAACCTCCTCCGCAGCAGGCCCAAGCGTTTGGTGGCTTTATTCACTACCATTTCAGGCCGTTTTAAGCAACCGAGATCGTAATGCACGAGCACCCTGAGATCACTTTCATGAGAAGCGCACTTCAGGAATTCTTATCCTAGCCGATACTGACAGGTGCTCTTGTGATGTGTGCTCATTATTTTGCACTTGACAGAGTTAGACTCGAGCATGTTCTGGGTCGACTATTGGTAAGTCCTGTTGAGATGACCTTGTAGCGTTATTTGGGTCGTATGCTACTTTGATTGCCATCCAAATCTTGAGGTCATCCGCGTAGAGTAAAAAGTTCGATGTCAGAACATTTGCAAGGTCGTTAATGAATACGAAAAATATCTTGGTCCTGATACAGAGCCTTGGGCGTCAAAGAGGGTGCTACGAACCCTTAAATTCAGGCGTCGCTGAAGTAGAAATGAATGAGTCCAGCTTAGGATAGGTTCACCTTGACCGTAGCACCGAAACTTGTGAAGAAGAATCTGACGATCAAGGTGCGGTAATAGCCAGTCGCTTAAGCAAAGCGAAGGAGCCGGCCGTATCCATGCGGATCAATCACGGGCTGCGAATGCACGCAAGTATGTCACTGGATAGCCGCATGAGCGAAAGTAAGCTAGAAGCATATGGCAAATTCGCCAATCAGGTGCATGTATCAATAAACCAGAGCAAGGACGCGCGGTTGGCTCATGGGCGGATCGGTTTAGCCGTGACACTTACACGCCGACGAGGTAGCAACGACAGACCAGATATACAAAACGGAGCTGCCGTACCCAGCCGTGGCTCAAGGCGAATAAACGAAGACAGAGCAGAAGCCGATAGATAGGTTGTGTGTGGGACCAATGAACGTAGTGCAATACGAAAGTCGCGGCAGCCAGTGTCGGCAGACAACGATTCCTCGTTTGTTATCTTTCAATAGTAGACTATGATCGTTGCCCAAACTTTCTTTTGATTCTCAGAAGGCGCTACACGACATGGTGAGAGAGAAGAAGCCGACACACCGGACTGCAGTTGTTGGACAGTCATTGTTTCCAATGCCGACGGGTCTGCAAATGACGGAAAGCTCGCTACCGGGTAACTGAAGATTGTGGAAATCGAAGTGGATGAATTTCGTGGACGCTGACACAGTGGACACCCATCCGATGCCATACCAACTGGCTATATTCAGACATGCCATCTGCTACAAGGCGAGGTGCGTGCGCGAGACGTTGGGCCTCTGTGATACGGATGAACAGGAATCGGATCTGTCGGAGACAATCAGGAAATTTGGCAAGTATTGCGAGGGCCAATCAAACGTGACGTACCAGAAGTAACTTTGTTTAATCACCATCGCTTACCGGTTGAGTCTCTCGATATCCCCATTGCAAAGTGAAGATAATTGTTATAACTGCCTCTTGGTTCCGCCACACTCTGAAGATCTGGTATCAACTCTCCTAGTCGGCCGAACGAATGAGGCGCTACGAACAAACTCCCATGGAGTCACTGGTGTTCGGGTTTAAGCT